AAAAAGGGGCCAACAATAAGCATTTTTGTAACTTCCAGACAATAACTTGTGTGTAAGTGTATGGATCTCTCTGACATTGTACCACAAGGTTCCATATCACAAAGGGAAGGCTGTAATTGATTTTGGGGGTAATTGCCTCAAAATGTTAGGAATTAGGGGCCAAAAAAGGGGCAAAAAACAAGCATTTTTCTAGTTTCATGACAATAACTTGTGTGTAAGTGTTTGGATATTTCTGAAATTGTACTACAAGGTTCCATATCACAAAGGGAAAGCTGGAATTGAGTTTGGGGGTAATTGCCCGAAACGTTTAGGAATTGGGGGCCAAAAAGGGGCCAAAAATAAGCATTTTTCTAGTTTCCAGACAATAACTTGTGTTCAAGTGTATGGATCTCTCTGAAATTGTACTGCAAGGTACCATACCACAAAGGGAAGGCTGAGATTGAGTTTGGGGGTGATGAATCATAAGGGGGTTCAAAAAATTTGGGGGGGGGGGGATTTTTTTTTTTTTCTTTTTTTTTTCTTTTTTTCCTTTTTTTTTTTCTTTTAAAATTTTCTATTTTAAGTTCGTTATTTCTGATTTATATTTAAAAGCAAATAATAATGATATGGTAGGAGATACACACCAAACAGGATGTGTAAATTATTATATAATAAGTATTGTGCAATAGCAAGAAATTTTCAATTGCACAGTACATTGTATTGCACAATAGCAAGAAATCTTCAATTGCACAGTATTGCGCAATAGCAAGAAATCTTCAATTGCACAGTATTGCGCAATAGCAAGAAATATCCAATAGCACAATATTGCGCAATAGCAAGAAATTGTCAATTGTACAGTATTGCGCAATAGCAAGAAATAATCAATTGCACAGTATTGTGCAAAAGAAGATACTTCGTATAAATTGCTTATTTCTTGATCAATTTCAATGGGGTTTTATTCTTGAATTCTTGGGGTTCTTTAATATGCTGAATCTAACCGTGTATTAAGTTTTTAGATTTTGGGCCCCGTTTTTAAATTGGTCCACATTGAGGTCCAAAGGGTCCAAAATTTTACTTTGTTTGATTTCATCAAAAATTGAATTATTGGGGTTCTTTGATATGCCGAATCTAACCGTGTATTTAGATTCTTAATTTTTGGTTCTGTTTTCAAATTGGTCTACATAAAGGTCCAAAGGGTCCAAAATTAAACTTAGTTTGATTTCAACAAAAATTGAATATATGGGGTTTTTTGATATGCTGAATCTAACCATGTATTTAGATTTTTGATTATGGGCCCAGTTTTCGAGTTGGTCCAAATCGGGGTCCAAAATTAAACTTTGTTTGATTTCAACAAAAATTGAATATATGGGGTTCTTTGATATGCTGAATCTAACCATGTATTTAGATTTTTGATTGTTGGGCCCCGTTATCAACTTTGTCCACATTGAGATCAAAAGGGTCCAAAATTAAACTTTGTTTGATTTCATCAAAAATTGAATATATGGGGTTCTTTGATATGCTGAATCTAACCATGTATTTAGATTTTTGATTATGGGCCCAGTTTTCGAGTTGGTCCAAATCGGGGTCCAAAATTAAACTTTGTTTGATTTCAACAAAAATTGAATATATGGGGTTCTTTGATATGCTGAATCTAACCATGTATTTAGATTTTTGATTATGGGCCCAGTTTTCAAGTTGGTCCAAATCGGGGTCCAAAATTAAACTTTGTTTGATTTCAACAAAAATTGAATATATGGGGTTCTTTGATATGCTGAATCTAACCATGTATTTAGATTTTTGATTGTTGGGCCCCGTTATCAACTTTGTCCACATTGAGATCAAAAGGGTCCAAAATTAAACTTTGTTTGATTTCATCAAAAATTGAATATATGGGGTTCTTTGATATGCTGAATCTAACCATGTATTTAGATTTTTGATTATGGGCCCAGTTTTCGAGTTGGTCCAAATCGGGGTCCAAAATTAAACTTTGTTTGATTTCAACAAAAATTGAATATATGGGGTTCTTTGATATGCTGAATCTAACCATGTATTTAGATTTTTGATTATGGGCCCAGTTTTCAAGTTGGTCCAAATCGGGGTCCAAAATTAAACTTTGTTTGATTTCAACAAAAATTGAATATATGGGGTTCTTTGATATGCTGAATCTAACCATGTATTTAGATTTTTGATTGTTGGGCCCCGTTATCAACTTTGTCCACATTGAGATCAAAAGGGTCCAAAATTAAACTTTGTTTGATTTCATCAAAAATTGAATATATGGGGTTCTTTGATATGCTGAATCTAACCATGTATTTAGATTTTTGATTATGGGCCCAGTTTTCAAGTTGGTCCAAATCGGGGTCCAAAATTAAACTTTGTTTGATTTCAACAAAAATTGAATATATGGGGTTCTTTGATATGCTGAATCTAACCATGTATTTAGATTTTTGATTATGGGCCCAGTTTTCAAGTTGGTCCAAATCGGGGTCCAAAATTAAACTTTGTTTGATTTCAACAAAAATGGAATATATGGGGTTCTCTAATATGCTGAATCTAACCGTGTATTAAGTTTTTGGATTTTGGGCCCCGTTTTTAAATTGGTCCACATTGAAGTCCAAAGGGTCCAAAATTTAACTTTGTTTGATTTCATCAAAAATTGAATTATTGGGGTTCTTTGATATGCCGAATCTAACTGTGTATTTAGATTCTTAATTTTTGGTTCCGTTTTCAAATTGGTCTACATAAAGGTCCAAAGGGTCCAAAATTAAACTTAGTTTGATTTTAACAAAAATTGAATTTTTAGGGTTCTTTGATATGCTGAATCTAAACATGTATTTAGATTTTTGATTATGGGCCCAGTTTTCAAGTTGGTCCAAATCGGGGTCCAAAATTAAACTTTGTTTGATTTCAACAAAAATTGAATATATGGGGTTCTTTGATATGCTGAATCTAACCATGTATTTAGATTTTTGATTTTTGGGCCCTGTTATCATTTTTGTCCACATTGAGATCAAAAGGGTCCAAAATTAAACTTTGTTTGATTTCATCAAAAATTGAATTCTTGGGGTTCTTTGATATGCTGAATCTAACCATGTATTTAGATTTTGGATATTGGACCATAATAGGTGAATGTCCAATTTAAAATTTTTAAGTTCTTAGACCACATTCATTCTGTGTCAGAAACCTATGCTGTGTCAAATATTTAATCACAATCCAAATTCAGAGCTGTATCAAGCTTGAATGTTGTGTCCATACTTGCCCCAACTGTTCAGGGTTCGACCTCTGCGGTCGTATCAAGCTGCGCCCTGCGGAGCATTTTATTGGTTATTATCTTAATTATTATTTTAGATAGAGATAAACTGTAAACAGCAATAATGTTCAGCAAAGTACGATCTACAAATAAGTCAATATGACCAAAATTTTCAATTGACCCCTTAAGGAGTTATTGCCCTTTATAGTCAAATTTTGAACAATTTTTTTCGTAAATTTTTTTAATCTTTTACAAAAACCTTCTCCACTGAATTTACTGGGACAAATAGAATTAAACTTAGCCACAATTTTCAATAGGGTATCTTGATTGAAAAATGTATCCGATGACCCTGTCATCCCACCAACATGACCACCATGGCTAAAAATAGAACATAGGGATTTACTATAGAAGTCTAAGGGAATATTGTAAAAAAAACATTTTCAAATGGTCAAAACTTAAAAACTACTTTAAAAAATGATAAGGGGTCTTCAGTAACTATTGTAAGTCTAGTTACTAGTGGGATGACCTGCTTTTAATTTAACTACTGGGCCAAATTAAACCAAACTTGGCCTCAATCATTATTAGGGTATCTAATACTATTTAATATGATTTAAACCTTATTTTACATGATTTCCAAAACCACAGAAGATACAGGTGAGCGACACAGGGGAGCGACACAGGCTTTTGAGAGCCTCTAGTTTTGTCATTCTTGAAGATATTGATTTGATAATTGGTATATAGTTTTATGACAAGTTACAGATCAAGTTTGAATTTTGTTCCGATCTGATGATTTTGTGCAGAGTTTTGGTCCTTGATATTTGTTATATAGTTTACACCATGACAAGTTATAGATCAAGTTATTCATGTGCAGGAAGTTTATGCCACAGTATTTATATTTTAGTCTTCTAATCCTACAAGGGGCCTCTGTGGCCGAGTTGTCTAAGTAGTCAAATTAGTGTATCTGTAGCCAGTCAACACTGAGGTTGTGAGGTTGAATCACGAATAACGCACATGGCAGGTGCTTTGGACATCAATCTTAATTGACTATGATTGTCAGTTTTCCTTCTAAAGGTCAGGTTCTCGCCAGGCACTCCAGCTTCCTCCACAAATAAAAACTAACTGCTAAGAAATAGCACAGTAGTGCTGAAAGGGGCATTAAACACCAATCTATCAATCAATCTGATCCCACATATATACATGTACATGTATAAAGACACACCCAATTGAGCTTTCAGATAACAAGAACAATATTACTTTCATTAAAAAGACATCTCTCAATCAGCCATTACTTAGCCAAATAAATATTGAAGAACAGTAAATTAAGTTGTTGTCGCTGGCATAGCTTTTCCATTAGTGTTACCTTAGCCACCACCTGTTTCACACATTGATGGCCTCACTGTGAGGCTGAGATGAAGTGGCACATTGATGGCCTCACTGTGAGGCTGAGATGAAGAACAGCAGTAAAAGTGTTGTTTCTTTGTATTAATTGTAATAAGGGATATGCATGTCATAAATTAACACACCATATCCTTTATTTTGCCATCAAACATGTACTATATGTTCTAATTTTCATATATAAATCAACTGAAAATTTTTAAGGGAAAGTTTGGGGAGGAGGAAGTGTCATAAGGAAGGAGCTTGCTGTTCAGGAGATGATTTTATTTATAAATGCCTGGAAAGACTGGTGGGTCATTTTCTGATATCCTCCATTTTTTGGGGTATAAAATTTGATTTTGGGACACCCTTATTTAAAGTTTTCTTATTTCAATAGGTAATAGAAACAGAGAGAATGTTATACTTAGTAACAGAATATGCCAGTGGTGGTGAAATATTTGGTAAGTAAAAAAATATATATAGAAAGTAGAAGTTTCCTTATGTGAAGTTGTTTTATGAATTAGTGATTGTATAACTTGACTGTTGTGGGTGTGTTTTTAAATGTACTGTCCACATAATTATATTTGTGTGCATGTATAGTTTCATCCTGTATGCTGTATGTGGCATAAATCAAATGTTCCTTTCAAACTACTTTTAAATTAAAATTGCTTAACAAGGATTTAGGAAGCAAAAAAAGAAAAAGAAAGTGGCAACTTTGTGCTATAAAAAAATTAGGAGATGTGATAAGATTACAAATGTGACAACTATCCACAATAGTCCAAACAATTTGGATAGAAACCACTTTAGGTCACTGTTTTACATTCAGCTATTAGCAAACCCTGTATCCTATAGTCAGCTACAAAATGCCCTGAATCATCAAAATGTGAAACAATTTAATGGAAAAAACATCTGCCTGATTTATAACAAAACAATTAACCAAAATTAATATTACAGTCATAAACCAATGTCCAATGACATACACTGAATAACAGGCTCCTGATTTGGGACAGACACATAAAGAATGTGGCTTGGTTTAACATGTTTATGAGAATTCAACCCTCCACTGGAACTGGCAAAGTGGTGTAACAGCACAACATAAGAACAAACTGTAAAAATCAGTTGGAAATGGTTTGGCTCATCAGATACCTACAAATTACAAAAAATAACTAACATGAAGACAAAAGGCAGAAATTATTGATCTAAGAGTAATCACAACCAATGAATTCTCTTTATAGAATGTACATCCTGATGTCACATGCAGGGCTCACGCTACCAGGCGACTAGGGCGAAGATGTCGCTTTCCCGTCCGTCACTTCGCTTTGCCCGACCCTCAAAAGCGAAAACTAGTCGCCCTGTGGTTTACGATACTCGCTTTCAGTCGCTTTCGTCATCGGCAATGTTCAATTTTTACCAAGTCGATGAAACAGCAATTTTTCAGTAAAAAGTAAAGAAATTCAAAGACATAAACAATTTATTTTCTTCAGAAAAGAGGTTAAAGCATTGATTTTAAAGTTGGTTGCAAGTTATTTCATAAAAACAATTTTTTATCACTTCCGGTACTTGTTAAAGAGCGTACATCAAATCATTCTAATTTTCGGCAAAATAAGTTCGTTACTTCATTAGAACGTGATGAAATTTGCCTGAAATAAATTTGTTATCCATCTATTGCATTAAAAACGTCATATTCCTTTCCAAATTGCGTGTCAAACATCGTTTATTTTTGTAAATTTTTCTTCTTCGTCCGCCATTGAAATATTTGTACTAAACTACTGATCCGAACCGGACCAGCTATGACCGAAATCCGGATTCATACGATAATGACTACTGAAGAATGAATGGCACAGCTGACAGAGGAATATTGATCCCAAAAGGAAAAATTACGCATTCCACGCGCATTAACACTCTTTTGGTTAGATCTACTTGATTAATGTATATATTTCCATGTATATGAATTGTTTCAATTTATCAATAAAAATTGCTCAACTCTGGGACTACTATACTATGTCCAAGCTTAACTGTGTTAAATTTATATATCTTTTAAATGAGAATTTTAACCACTGAATTTCACAAACATAACAGAGTATCTTTTTATACGACCGCAAAAAAATTTTTGTGGTCGTATATTGGTATGACGTTGGCGTCGTCGTCGTCCGGCGTCGTCGTCGTCATCATCGTCGTCGTCTGGCGTCGTCCGGCGTCGTCCGAAGACACATTGGTTTTCGCACTCTAACTTTAGTTTAAGTGAATGGATCTCTATGAAATTTTACCACAAGGTTCAATACCACAAAAGGAAGGTTGGGATTGATTTTGGGGGTTATGGTACTAACAGTAAAGGAATTAGGGGCCAAAAAGGGGCCAAAAATAAGCATTTTTGTAACTTCCAGACATAACTTGTGTGTTAGTGTATGGATCTCTCTGACATTGTACCACAAGGTTCCATATCACAAAAGGAATGCTGGGATTGATTTTGGGGGTAATTGCATTAACATTTTAGGAATTAGGGGCCAAAAAAGGGGCAAAAAACAAGCATTTTTCTAGTTTCATGACAATAACTTGTGTGTAAGTATTATGGATCTTTCTGAAATTGTACCACAAGGTTCCATATCACAAAAGGAAAGCTGGAATTGAGTTTGGGGGTAATTGCTGAAACGTTTAGGAATTGGGGGCCAAAAAGGGGCCAAAAATAAGCATTTTTCTAGTTTCAGGACAATAACTTGTGTGTAAGTGTATGGATCTTTCTGAAATTGTACTACAAGGTTCCATATCACAAAGGGAAAGCTGGGTTTGAGTTTGGGGGTAATTGCCCTAAATGTTTAGGAATTTGGGGCCAAAAAGGGCCCAAAAAACACATTTTTCTAAATTCCAGACAATAACTTGTGTTCAAGTGTATGGATCTCTCTGAAATTGTACTGCAAGGTACCATACCACAAAGGGAAGGCTGGGATTGAGTTTGGGGGTGATGAATCATAACGGGGTTCAAAAAATTGGGGGGGGGGGGGGGGGGTTTCCTTTTTTTTCTTTTCTTCCTTTTTTTTCTTTTCTTCCTTTTTTTTTCTTTTAGAATTTTCCTTTAAAGTTGGTTATTTCTGATTTATATTTAAAAGCAAATAATAATAATATGGTAGGAGATACACACCAAACAGGATGTGTAAATTATTATATAGTAAGTATTGTGCAATAGCAAGAAATTTTCAATTGCACAGTATTGCACAATAGCAAGAAATCTTCAATTGCACAGTATTGCGCAATAGCAAGAAATTTTCAATTGCACAGTATTGCGCAATAGCAAGAAATATTCAATAGCACAATATTGCGCAATAGCAAGAAATTGTCAATTGTACAGTATTGCGCAATAGCAAGAAATATTTAATTGCACAGTATTGTGCAAAAGAACTTCGTATAATTGCTTATTTCTTGACCAATTTCAATGGGGTTTTATTCTTGAATTCTTGGGGTTCTATAATATGCTGAATCTAACCGTGTATTTAGTTTTTGGATTTTGGGCCCCGTTTTTAATTTGGTCCACATTGAGGTCCAAAGGGTCCAAAATTAAACTTTGTTTGATTTCATCAAAAATTGAATTATTGGGGTTCTTTGATATGCCGAATCTAACCGTGTATTTAGATTCTTAATTTTTGGTTCCATTTTCAAATTGGTCTACATTAAGGTCCAAAGGGTCCAAAATTAAACTTAGTTTGATTTTAACAAAAATTGAATTCTTAGGGTTCTTTGATATGCTGAATCTAAACATGTATTTAGATTTTTGATTATGGGCCCAGTTTTCAAGTTGGTCCAAATCAGTGTCCAAAATTAAACTTTGTTTGATTTCAACAAAAATTGAATATATGGGGTTGTTTGATATGCTGAATCTAACCATGTATTTAGATTTATGATTTTTGGGCCCCGTTATCAACTTTGTCCACATTGAGGTCAAAAGGGTCCAAAATTAAACTTTGTTTGATTTCATCAAAAATTGAATTCTTGGGGTTCTTTGATATGCTGAATCTAACCATGTATTTAGATTTTGGATATTGGACCATAATAGGTGAATGTCCAATTTAAAATTTTTAAGTTCTTAGACCACATTCATTCTGTGTCAGAAACCTATGCTGTGTCAAATATTTAATCACAATCCAAATGCAAAGCTGTATCAAGCTTGAATGTTGTGTCCATACTTGGCCCAACTGTTCAGGGTTCGACCTCTGCGGTCGTATCAAGCTGCGCCCTGCGGAGCATTTTATTTATTATTGCTAGATATTAAACCGGTTTTTTTTTCTGACAAGAGGACTAATATGATTGTGCAACTAGATATGATAAAATTAAACAACTTTGAATTTGAACTGTTACTTTTATTGTACTCCCAGGTACAAATTGAGCAATAATAAAAAAATAAGATACATATGGGCCTTTGTATTATAGTAAAACCAGACATTGTAGCGCCGCGAGCGAACGAGCACTTCTCTCTTAAATCTCACCACTTCTCCCTCTCAGTTTCAAAAAGAGAAGTCACTTCTCCCTATGATTCTGAAGTAGTGTGAGCCCTGCACATGGGTCAATTTTTTTTCAAAATGTTATTTTGCAATTTTGCAGATCATTTGGTGGCACATGGTAGAATGAATGAAAGAGAAGCAAGAAAGAAGTTTAAACAGATAATTGCAGCAGTATCATATTGCCACAGTCGTCAAATTGTACATCGTGATTTAAAGGCAGAAAATTTATTACTGGATGCCAGTCTTAACATTAAAATAGCTGGTAAGTTAATAACACTGTTGTTAAGACCTGTTTTAAAATGGCATTGTAAATTCATGATCTATTTACATTTACTATACACATCAAAGTATTTGGTTTTTACTTAAAATCACCTCTCATTCCCATGACAAAAACTCACCAAATTTTTTATTTACTTTTTTTGTACCGATAACCTGAATACCTTTAATTTTTGGTCATTGGCCTTTTGGATTCAGTTTTGTCAGGCAAATATGACCATTTCTTGACCCTTGATCTTGGTCATGTATGTGAAATATCTTTTATTGTACTACAGTTGATATTATGTTTATTTTTAACAAAAACTGTATGTGAAATGGACAATTTTTATACGACCGCAAACAATTTTTTGGGATGGTATAATGGTATGGTGTTGTCTGCGTCGTCTGCGTAGTCGTCCGAAGACACATTGGTTTCCGGACAATAACTTTAGTTTAAGTGAATGGATCTCTATGAAATTTTTTTAGAAGGTTCAATACCACAAAAGGAAGGTTGGGATTGATTTTGGGGATGATGGTCCCAACCTTTTAGGAATTAAGGGCCCAAAAGGGGCCCAAAACAAGCATTTGGCATGACACGGGTTATGTTCTTCTCATATATGTTATGATGGTATGATACTAAACCCCTAACGGGAAGGATTGTGCCTGATATTCATATGATGAAGACATAATCTTTCAATCAGTTTAATTGAAGTCTGGAGCTGGCATGTCAGTTAACTGCTAGTAGTCTGTTAACGTTGTTATTTATGTATTATTGTCATTTTGTTTATTTTCTTTGGTTACATCTTCTGACATCAGACTCGGACTTCTCTTGAACTGAATTTTAATGTGCGTATTGTTATGCGTTTACTTTTCTACATTGGCTAGAGGTATAGGGGGAGGGTTGAGATCTCATAAACATGTTTAACCCCGCCGCATTTTTGCGCCTGTCCCAAGTCAGGAGCCTCTAGCCTTTGTTAGTCTTGTATTATTTTTAATTTTAGTTTCTTGTGTACAATTTGGAGTTTAGTATGGCGTTCATTATCACTGAACTAGTATATATATTTGTTTAGGGGCCAGCTGAAGGACGCCTCCGGGTGCGGAAATTTCTCGCTGCATTGAAGACCTGTTGGTGGCCTTCTGCTGTTGTCTGTTCTGTGGTCGGGTTGTTGTCTCTTTGACACATTCCCCATTTCCATTCTCAATTTTATTTTTCTAGTTTCATGATAATAACTTGTGTATAAGTATTTCGATTGCTCTGAAATTGTACGACAATGTTCAATACCACAAGTAGAAGGTTGGGATTTATTTCAGGGGTTATGGGGCCAACAGTTTAGGAATTAAGGGCCAAAAAGGGGCCAAAAACAAGCATTTTTCTAGTTTCCAGACAATAACTTGTGTGTAAGTGTATGGATCTCTCTGACATTGTTCCACAAGGTTCCATATCACAAAGGGAAGGCTAGGATTGAGTTTGGGGTTAATTGCCCAAATATGTAGGAATTAGGGGCCAAAAACAAGCATTTTCTAGTTTCCAGACAATAACTTGTGTTTAAGTGTATGGATCTCTCTGAAATTGTACTACAAGGTTCCATACTACAAAGGAAAGGCTGGGATCGAGTTTTGGGGTTATTGCTCCAAGGGGGGTTTCAAAAAGTTGGGGAGGGGGGATTTTTTTTTCCAATTTTTTTATAGGATTCATATTTTTTTTTCAAAATTTTTCAAATTTTGAATTTTTGAAAAGTTTCAAGAAGAAATCTTCAATTGCACAGTATTGCGCAATAGATTTGTAAGATCTTTGACCACATTTATTTTGTGTCAGAAATCTATATTATGTCAAAAATTTGATCACAATCCAAATTCAGACAGTATCAAGCTTGAATATTGTGTCCAAATTTGTACCAACTGTTCAGGGTTCGACCTCTGCGATCGTATCAGGCTGCGCTTAGCGAAGCATTTTATTGTCAATTAATACCTGTTTGTGACATCACAAATGACATTTTTCTGCACTGTAGGAACAAAACTCACAAAAGTTTATCGCTGTATTCATTAATATAATTTTGAATGTGCTGAAGAATTATCCTTATTTTGCAATATCAGGAGATAAAGATTGGCTTTTATTATACCTTCACTTTTACTTATTCTTTAATTTTTGGAAAGATTGGAAATATTGTTTCTTAAAAAATCTTACCAGAAAAAATACTTGTGGAAGTCATGAACATTTCAGTATTTTTGTCTTAAGATTTTTTTGTGAAAAAGTTCCCCAACCATCTTCCAGCAGGATGTAGCCAGGTTAGCCACTAAATCCATACACTGAAATATAGTTCATAAAACTTCTAATGTCTATGTTAATATGCACCAAAAAACTGTTTAAAATTTTGAACATATCTTTAGAGCAGTTTTGAATGTCATAAGTTTGGTCTATTTGCTGTCTAGTTTAATCTTTATTATTAAGTAAAAGTACTGATTCCACATCAGTATGATTGACTCATTTAATCATCTCACATATATTTGTAATTTCTACATGTAGAAAAGTACAAAACCCTTAGTGAAAACTTAGCAATCATCTCTCATTTTAAGTACATAATTTGTAAGTAATATTTTCCTTTGTGTGTTAATGCCAATATTGATATAGACGATGATTAGAAATGTTAGGGACAGATCACCTTATTTACGTTATATAATTACTTTATCTTGATAATAGAAATTCTCTTGTTTGTGTTTTTTTTTACCAGCAGATGTAGATTTGACACATTGAGTTGACAGCAAAGTTTATTAGTGATAATTGCAGGTGATAAGCGGACACCATTAATTAACACAACACATGGCATCGCCAGCTTTCATTGTATAAATCAATAGTGCTTAATGCTAAATTGTTTTCCTGAAAATGATAGTTGTTGTTGATCACTTTTCATTTTGTTATACAAATATTATTGAACTGTCAATAATTTCTTACATTGATATTTCTTATGAGTCATTATAGGTTTGTGGTTCATGTTGCTACAATTGTAGTACCTGGTATATTTGATATTTGTATGTTTTTATATAGATTAGACCGTTGGTTTTCCTGTTTGAATGGTTTTACACTAGTCATTTTGGAGCCCTTTATAGCTTGCTGTTCGGTGTGAGCCTAGGCTCTATGTTGAAGGCTGTACTTTGACCTATAATGGTTTACTTTTACAAATTGTGACTTGGATGGAGAGTTGTCTCATTGGCACTCATACCACATCTTCTTATATCTATTTTAGAGAAGGGAAGAGTTTTAATACATGTAGATGTAAAATATACATAAACCCTGCATATTTTCACTAAAGATCTGCTCAAATGTTTCCTTTATTTACAAACCTTACAAACTTTCTAATGTGACTTGGCACATATATAATACATCTAAATATATCAGATTTCCTTCAGTTTTTTGACAAATTTTACACTAATTGTGATATTAAATAATAATTATCTTTAGGTCAGACTAATTTTTTTTAAGGCCTTTAACATTAGTGATCTGAAATTTAAAAAAATAGAACTGATGTGATTAATTTCACAGGTGATAGGAAAAAACTCAGCCAGATATTTAATCCTGTATATTCTATTATCTGAGTTCAATAAATAACAACAGATTATCTACTGTTGACATATTTTATAGTCAAAGAAAACAAGTATTGGTGTTATATGGATATTTTTATTAAATCACTTTTAGTAGCTAGTACATAAACATCTAGGTACAAAAAAGTAATAAGATATTTCAGATATATGATATCTCCCTTACAGCTCAAAATCTCTCTGGCAGCTTAAAAATGTCTCTTGGCTCTTGGATAATTATTATTATTCGGGAAATCCCCTTCCTCATCTGACTAACTGGGTTTATGAAATCCTGGTAAGCTTTTTTATGGAGTTCAAACTTTGCCTACTGCAGTTTGGGTTTTAAATTGTTACAAATAATATTTGAAGTAAATGTAAAACTGTCTAGACATTATCCTGTAGCTTAACTGGCTAGTGTAGAGAATTTATCTTGCCTAAAAAGTGGTGGGCATTATTTAGCCAAAATAAAGAAGTGAAAAATTCTCAAAATCTCTGCTTATTTGGGCCACTGAAATAAACATCAATATATATAAGAATAATACCCACTTAAAAAAAAAAGAAGAAATTTGAAGAATTTGAATTATTTTAGATTGAAAGGATCAACAATTCAAAAGGAGAAAAATTTTGCATATAATTCATTTTTCTGCGAGTCTTACAGAGCTTATAGTTAATTTGGAACCAGATTATAGTAAAGCATAATAATTGACATACAAGTTTGTCATATGAAGTAATGAAATGTATTTAGTATGATTTCCCAAATAAGTTGACCGGAAATTTCTTTAAATTTAAATGATTTTAGGATCACTCTTAAATGTATTAGTTTAGAAAAAAAAATGTTATAGGCTGCAGATCCAGCTTTAACGAGAATTGAATACACTTAGTTTATATTGATGGTTAACACATCTTTTGTCTGACCTGTGGTAAATGGAGAGACATACAGATGCTTGTCTAGCACCAGTGATGGTTTAATTGTTAGTTTTTCTATAAAGCTTCATATTTCAGAAGGTAGAAGAACTGGATAATCCATCTGGTAGACGGATGATGTTTTGCTTGAAGTTTCCATTTTACATATATGTATATCTGTTGTCCTTGACCTCATTTTCATGGTTTAAATGCTGTTTAAAAACATCTAGTTTTTTATCATGTGATTTTTTTTTTATCAGTAGTAATCAAACAGCTGATATACATTAATATCATCAGTGCAAGTTAACATATCTGTGAGACAGGGTTCACTTGACCTTGACCTCATTTTATGGTTCAGTGATCAATGTTAAGTTTTTGTGGTAACAACAGCTTTATGTTAACATTGAATTATAGATCAACTGTATTTGTTGTACAAAAGTATTGTGTAGTGTAGATGTCAGTCTGACTGTTCATCTGACCTTGACCTTTTTCATGGATTATTGATATTTGCAAACATTAGTGATATCGATG